GACGGTTATCCGATGGTAATCCGAAGCTTGTTTGCAGCCCAAAGGTCCAACAAAAAACCAGCCCGAAACCTCCTACAACCGCGAGGGCCCGCGAGGGCCCAAGGGCCCGAAACATGAGTTGGGAGCGTCTGGCAGTAGAGTTTCTATTTTGTTTGTTGTGTGTGGCTGCCATGCTTTTTGTGCAGTTGGATTTTTTCTAGGCCTGTCACTGGCCTGCTTGGTCGGGCTGCTGATTCTCTTGAAGTGGGATGTTTGTAGTAGGGCTGTGTGGATGTCGCTTTCTTGGCGCAGTTGCTTTTCTTCAGGGCCTGTCGCTGGCCTGCTTGGTCCGGCTGCTGCTTTTCGTGAAGCAATATTTTTCCGAAGGGCTTCTAGTTTGCTTGTTCTGTGTGGCTGCCGTTTTTTTTGGTTGTTGTGCAGTTGGTTCTTTTCAAGGCCTGTCACTGGCTTGCTTGGTCTGCCTGCTGCTTTTCGTGAAGTGTTTTGTTTCCATGCTGCTTTCTCGTTGAAGTGCTTTGTTTCTCATTGGGTTTCTTTGTCACTGGCCTGCTGCCGCTTTGTTTCTCAGTTGGGCTCTTCAGGGTGTCACTGGCCTGCTTGGTCGGCCTTGCTGTCTGTGGCTGCCTGTTTTTTGGTGAAGTTGGATTTGTTTCAGGGCCTGTCACTGGCCTGCTCGGTCGGGCTGGTGATTTTAGCGAAGTGGTATTTGTTGTAGGGCTTCGAATTTGCTTGTTGTGTTTGAATGCCACTTTTTTGGTGCAGTTGGATTTTGTTCAGGGCCTGTCACTGGCCTGCCTGGTCGGCCTGCTGCTTTTTGTGAAGTGGATTTTTCCCGAGAGCTTCTAGTTTGCTTGTTGCGTGTGGCTGCCGCGTTCTTTTTTGTGTAGTTGTTGTTTTTATAGGGGCCTGTCACTGGCTTGCTTGGTCGGGCTGCTGCTTTTCGTCGCTTTTCGTGAAGTTGGATTTGTTTAGTAAAGCTTCTAATTTGCTTGTTGTGTGTGGCTGCCATGTTTTTTGTGCAGTTGGATTTTTGCTCAGGGCCTGTCACTGGCCTGCTTGCTTGGGCTGCTGCTTTTCGTGAAGTTGGATTTATTTAGTGGAGCTTCCAATTTGCTTGTTGTGAGTGGCTGCCATGCTTTTTGTGCATGCTGTCACTGGCCTGCTTAGTCAGGCTGCTAATTTTCGTGAAGTTGGATTTTTGCAGTAGGACTTCTAATTTGCTTTTTGTGTGTGGATGCCGCTTTTTTGGTGCAGTTGTTTTTGTTTCAGGGCCTGTCGCTGGCCTGCTTGGTCGGGCTGCTGCTTTTCGCGGTCTTGTCTTTTTTAGTACAGCTGCTGCTTTGTTTGTTGTGTGTGGCTGCCATTTTTTGTTGTTGCGCAGTTGGATTTTGTTCAGGGCCTGTCACTGAAGCGCCTGGTCTGCTGTTTCTCGTAAAGTTTTTTTGATTTTTTAAGTAAGAGTTGCTAATTGCTTGTTGTCCGCGGCTGCCGCTTTTTTGTTCAGGGTCTGTTGCTGGCCTGCTTGGTTGGGCTGCTGCTTTTCGCAAAGTGCTTTTTTTCTGGTTTCTAATTTGGTTGTTGTCTTTGCCTGCCTGTTTTCTGCAGATGTTGTTGGCAATCTTGCTTGCGAAGAGCTGTTGCCTCACGCAGGGTGGTGGGCGGTGGGCGGTGGGCGGTGGGCAGGACATGCGGGTCATCAGGCGGGCCATGCAGGCCACAGCCGGACCAAGCAGGCCAGCGACAGGCCCTGAAGAAAAGCAACTGCGCCAAGAAAGCGACATCCACACAGCCCTACTACAAACATCCCACTTCAAGAGAATCAGCAGCCCGACCAAGCAGGCCAGTGACAGGCCTAGAAAAAATCCAACTGCACAAAAAGCATGGCAGCCACACACAACAAACAAAATAGAGTTTCCCAGACGCTCCCAACTCATGTTTCGGGCCCTTGGGCCCTCGCGGGCCCTCGCGGTCGTAGGAGGTTTCGGGCTGGTTTTTTGTTGGGGGCCTTGGGCTGCAAACAAGCTTCGGATTACCATCGGATAACCGTCGGATAACCGTCGGATGGTCCGTCGGATAGCCGTCGGATGGCCGTCGGATGGCCGTCGGATAGCCGTCGGATAACCGTCGGATAATTGGGCCGGGGCCCCCAAAACTGAGGGTCTACGAGGGCCCGGCGTCGGATACCGTCGGATAGCGTCGGATAACCGTCGGATAACCGTCGGATAGCCGTCGGATAGCCGTCGGATAACCGTCGGATAGCCGTCGGATAGGGGAGGTGTGATTCGAGGCCATTTTGGTCGATCAGCGATCCATTGATCCCGTCCGGTTTGCACTACGGGCCCACAAGGCCCCGTATCCGACAAACAGGCGGGTCCTTTCAGGAGGGAGGGCCCCGGACCCTCCCTAGGAAACCCCAACCAAGCAGGCCAGCGACAGGCCCTCCAACTGCGCAAAAAAAAACGGCATTTGAACTGTTTGAACTCCCCGTGTAAAGAAACATCACTTTTGGGACCCGGGATTTTGAAATTTTGAATTGTGTGAACTCTCCAAGTACAGAAACATCACGTTGGGGACCCAGGATATTGAATTTTTTGAATTCCCCAAGTGCAGAAACATCACGTTGGGGAACCAGGATTTTGAACTTTTTGAATTCCCCAAGTAAAGAAACATCACTTTGGGGTTTGAACTTTTTGAACTCCCCAAGTAAAGAACATCACTTTCGGGACCCGGGATTTTGAACTCCCCAAGTAAAGAAACACCCGGCGGAACATCACTTTCGGGACCCGGGATTTTGAACTCCCCAAGTAAAGAAACACCCGGCGGAACATCACTTTCGGGACCCGGGATTTTGAACTCCCCAAGTAAAGACACATCACATCACTTTAGGGGACCCGGGGTTTTCAGCGTTTTGAACTTTGTTGGTCTCCCCAAATCAGGAACTAGGATTTCACAACCCGGGTTTTTGACCTTTTTGTCGGTCTTTCAATCTCCCCAGCCCAGGAACTCAGATTCGAGGGGCCCTGGATGTTGACCTAGTTGGTTTCTTCCAAAATTCGCAAGTAAAGAAGCATGAATTGAGCGACTCAGCTTGCGTAGCTTCTACCAACCCAAACTAAATGAAACAAGCGGCCCCTCCAAACAACCAACAAAAACTAAATGAAACAAGCGGCCCCTCCAAACAACCAACCCAAACTCAATGCAACAAGCGGCCCCTCCAAACCAGCAACCAAGCCTAATAGAAAACCGGCCCCTCCAAACCACCAACACAAATTAAATAAAACTAGAACTATCAACCCAAACTAATTGGAAAAAAATGCCCCTCCACACAACCAACCCAACCAAGCCAGCAACCCAAACCAATGGAAAAACGGCCCCCTCCAAACTACCAACCCAAACCAAATAGAAAAAACGGCCCCTCCACGCAACCAAACGAAACTAAATGAAACAAGCGGCCCCTCCAAACCAGCAACCCAAACTAAATTAAAAAAGCGGCCCCTCCAAACTACCAACCCAAACTAAATGAAACAAACGGCCCCTCCAAACTCCAAACCAGCAACCCAAACTAAATGGCCTCCTAACTACCAACCCAAACACAATGTCAAAAACGGCCTCTCCAAACCAGCAAATGGAAAAGCGGACCCCTCCGACCAAACCACCAACGACAATTAAGTGAAACTAGAACCACCAAGCAAAAGTAAATAGAACAAGCGGCCCCTCCACACAAACAACCCAAAACTAAATGAAACAAGCGGCCCCTCCAAACCAGCAACCCAAACCAAATGAAAACAGCGGCCCCCTCCAAACTACCAACCCAAACTAAATGAAACAATTGCCCCCTCCAAACCAGCAACCCAAACGAATGCAAAACCGGCCCTCCAAACCACCAACCCAAACTAGATGGAAAAGCGGGTTAAATGAAGCTAGAACCATCAGCCCAAACTAAATGGAAAACGCGGCCCCTCCAAACCTCTTCTTTGCAAAGCCAGGCCTTCCCCGTTATTTTTATTTTGCTTGTGGGTTCTCAGACGCGCATTTTATTGTACCAGGTCCACATTGTATTGCGCCAGGATGATGCCATTGTTCGGGTTATGATTATACATGGCTATGGTTTTTAAGGGGCATGCAAAGCCCGACGCGGCGCGAACCTTGGTACGGAGGTATGTAACGGGGGCTCTTGTAACGCTGTAGCGAGAGAACAGTGCTTGACACTTCCACAATTCCAGCTCGAAAGTTGCATTGTTTGATTCACCCGGCTGCAACGTTTCTTCTGCTGAAGGGCAAGCTCTTTGCAAGTTATTTACATCAATTCTGCTGTTTTAACTGTGTGTTGTTATCTTGTTTTCTATTTGTTGTCTTATCTACTTGTTTGATCTTTTATTATTTGTTATTTTTATCTGTCTTTATCTCTTCCTAGTAAACGAAACAGTAGATAATTACTAAGTTCAGATTAAGTGTCCGGTATCTAGACTATCTATTTGCTTTCTCCAATCTGCGCTATGTTGCCACGAGCCTTAGCCCCCCCCCCCCAACCAGCCCGAGGGCCCGTGAGGGCCCGCGAGGGCCCGAGGGCCCGAAACATGAGTTGGGAGCGTCTGGGTTGGGGAAATCAAGGGGTTTTCACTAAACCCACCAAAAAAATCTACTTTTTGCAGAAGGATCAGCAGCTAAACGCTCGGGGCCGGGGTGGGTTGCTTTCACACACGTGTACCCAGTTTTGGCGACACCCCTTCTCGGAAACTTTCCAAGTGGGGCGGTCTTCCACGTCGATGTGTCTTTTAAAGTACCCTTTTGGGGAGTTGCAGGGGAAACTTTGGAACTGAGACTAGGCAACTCTCCAAGAGGGTTTTTGGTTGTGGCTTCTGCTTCTAGGGTAATGTTTTGGGTGGCTCTTGCAAGTAAAGCCACCATGTCCTTCTTGGGTCCTGTTGCTTTCTGGTAGGTTCCTGGGCGTCATCCTCACGCTGGTGATCCGCGGCTTGATCTCCGCCGCCTCCGAGGAGATGGAGGCGGCGGATGCCATTAAAAAAATCGGCTCCGTGCGGGGAGAACTGTTCGCTGCAGATGTGTTTTGGTTTTTGCTTTTTTGAGCTGGTGCCGCTTTTTGGCACATTGATTTCTTTTTGGGGGTGGGGTGAAGTAAGGACCTGCTTGAAGGGGCGAATCGGGCACGTCAGGCAAGTGGGTAACAACAATGGTGACATCCAACTGCAGGGTACGTCAGGAAAGTGGTTGTAACCAAGGGCAAACCCAACTGACCGTGGGTGTACGTGCGCTCAGACCGATTCGGTACGTCAGGTAAGTAGTCGCAATATCCACGGAAACCCACTAAAGCCGTGGAGTTGTAAGTCTTCCAAGCAGGTTATATCCAAGCTTACTAACCGCTTACTAAGTACCCGATCGCCCCTTAAGTAGAGGTAAGACAACGCATCACGTCAATCCATCCATCCGCCCCAATCAGATTTTATCCATCCAATTGCCCCAATCAGAATTTATCCATCCAACTTTGGGGTTTGCTTTCCATGTGCCAGTTCTTCCACTTGGCACTAAACGAGGCACTTACATTGGTGTCCTTTTGATCAGTTGATTAGAGATAGACTGGCTCCACTGGTTTACATAGTGTTTGATGAACCATTTACCAGGGTCATCTGGTTGAGAAAAGATGTTGTTCCACTGGTTTAGGGAATCACAAACCATTTACACAAAACCCAATCTAGCTTTCCAACAGACCACCTATGACAACAAGGCTAGCTTTACTGAACGGGGGCCTGGAAGCGGGTTATAACTTAGGTTGCTAACGACTTACTTGCTTGGGTGTGTTTTTTTAGGCGACGGCGACCCCCAAACACGGCGCAACGGTTTGCCTTTTGGTTTCCCTTTAAGCCGCACGGAAAGGGTGTGCTTCAGATATGACAGACCCATATCCAGTCCTTTCGTCCTCGGCAGAGATTCCTTGGCCCTGTTTCTTTGTTTGAGCCCAGATCTTGGTGTGGAACTCTGTGTTTGTTGAACTGAAGCTCTTTTGGAACGAGACGGTCAGGCGGTTGCTTAATAAACTGGTTGTTTAGCACACCCAACCCATAAAACGCATGAGCCACGGTCGCTGGCACCCTTCTACTCGGCGGTCTAGCCAGCCAAAGTCATGGTTCCTACTCAGATGTTCGTTGCACCCCACTGAATGGGGGCCGAAAAGCGAATCATAGCTTCGGTTACCAGCAGGGACTAACTTGGCTGATCAAACACCCAGGACCAGGCCCATATGAGTGTCTCTTTTTGTAGGAATCGCACCCCTCAAAATGGCGCAACGGCTTTGCCTGTCATGTCCGCCCTTTAAAACCATTAAAAAAAAACAAAAACAAAACGGGGTATCCCCAAAACAATGACAGACCCATATGCTGGGAGTTACCATGGAAGTGGTAGGCGGTGTACCGGGACGGGACATCTCTTTGGCTCCAGACCTCAGGTCCGAAACCCTGCAGTTCAACCGTTTGCCAGTTGAATAATGTTTGACCCGATTTGGACGACAACGCTGAACGGTAAGCACTGGCGGTTACATGAACCCCCTTTGTTTTAATGGCGGTTTGAATCCCAGGGTCAAGTGGGCCCAGCTGTCCAGACCATCAACTTGGACTATGTTGCCATTAACCTCGACTGCGTCAACGAGGCCCGGGCAGCGACAGCGTGGTCTTTCCAAAAACGGCAACGCGCAAAACTGCGTCCGAATTTGTTTAGAAGGTAAAACAAACAGCGGGCTTGCTAGTTGTCGGGTCTATCACTTGGGGACACACCCATATTATTCTATTGCCAGGCGTGATGCTTTCGTGTGTTTGTTTGTATTGGCTTTAGAGCGAAAGGGTCGTATGTTTGTCCGTCTTGGCCTTGGGGAAAGGGTCGTGGCTGGCACAGATGCATCTCTTTCTGCTGCAACACCCGATGGAAGGTGCAACTTCGCTGCACATTGGCTTGCCCTTTGGTACTATGATGATCCTCCTTCTTGGGGAAGCTTCTGTGCAATTTCATGGTTGTCCCCCCGTTGTCCAGAGCTGGTTTCATTTGTTGCCCACAGAAAGCACAAAGCCAAGCGGGATGCCTGCGCTCTTCTTACAAGGGGCAAGCGCGAGAAAGCCAACATGTCTCCCATCCTTGCGGTTCGGTCATCGTTCAATCAGTTTCCCTCCCGGTTTGATTGGTGGCTTCGCATCTCTGTACAAGAAGCGGGCGTTCCAACCCCCAGCTCCCACCAATCCTGAAGGCCAGGGCGCAGTTCGGCATATTCTGGGGATAAGGCGTTTGACTGGCAGACTTTTAAGGCGTAATGTCGACGAGGAGTAACTCAAACCTGGAAGCCAAGCCAGCGAAAGATGTTGTCGAGTGCACTTTTTCTTTGCAGCGCTAAGCCTGAAAGACATTTCGCCACGGAATACAGTGTTTCGCGCGGGCCCTAAACGCCCGTGTTGCCTTTTGGGTTGTTTTTGGGTCTTGAACCTGTCGGCTTTGTAGGGGTTGTAACCCAACAAGTCAAAGGGTCGGTAACCGGTTTTTTCAGATCATCGTGCCCCATCCTGTTTTCTTTCACATGGGCTAGACAACACTGCGGATGGACAACTTCCAACCTCGCAGCAGTTGGTATGTGGTTTGAATTTGTCCATCTAATTTTAGGGTTCGGTGGTAAGCAGGGGTCACCCGAGGTAAGACACCCTGGTTACCTACTACTAGAGTAACTGGAAGCACTGTGTTTGACACCCAAAACACCATCCTCAGCTACTTGGACGTTGTTTTTCTGGGCCGTCCGGATCCAACCGGTCAGGATCTGAACGACATGAGCTCGTGCCAGTACGAGGTGGAGGTGCGCGGGAAGGATCAAGCCTCCAACCCACTCCTTTGGCCCATCCACTGAGAGCGTGTCACAAACAAGTCTAGAACACGACACACCAGCAAACGAGACAACTGCACAAACGAAAACGCGCACACACACACACACATACACACACGTCTTCCTTTAAACGCCCAAACTGCACGAATAAGGCAAGTTTCTTTGTGCCAAAAGCGGGTTACGGGCGAGCGCGCGCTGCAAGAGGATCCAAGAAGGAAGCGGATGGGGGGGGGGTTGCACACGGGCGTGCCTTTTTTTGGGACCTTTCGTTGCTTGGGTGTTAGGCCAAGCTAGTAAGTTGTCAGTAGCCAAGGTTATAACCCGGTTATAAGCCCCCCAAGTGAGGTTAACTTTGTTATTACTGGTTTATAACCAGGTGGCCAACCACTTACCCAAGTGGGTTGTTTTTAAGGAACGACCCTAGTTTCAGAAAGAGAGCCTTGCCAGTTTCATGTAACGTTTCCAGTTGTTTTAGCTGCGGTCAAGAGGATGGCATTGTTTCTTGTGTGTTTTTATTGTTTCAAAGTCAGCACCTGGGTTGTCTCCAATGAGGCCAGTTCAAAGGGAAGTCAAAACGAACAATTGCCTTTTTTTTTCCGTGTTTTGAGACAAACCCCGGTGCCGCTTTTGTGTTGCAACTCTCACGCCCTATGTGCTCGAGCAGCAAGTTGTGATCAGCGGTTTCACTGAAAAACAACTGGCAAAAATCCTCAGGGTAACAAGCTCAGGTGAGATCCCCGACAGCATGCAGAGTGCTCGCGCAGATCCTTCGTGGAACCCTGCTGGAACGCTGGTGGAACCCTCGTGGAACCCTCGTGGAACCCTTGTGGAACCCTCGTGGAACCCTTGTGGAACCTTACCTCAGGGCCGCCCCGGACCACACGGAGCCTATCTGGGCTGAGACCCCAAAGCTTTCAGCTGTTGGGGGAAAAACAAAACCTATCAGAGGTGTTGGGGAGTCATTGATCCTTGTATCTTTATCAAGCTCTAAGATCAGTTGGCTGGAGCTGGCGGCTCCACCCTGAGTTTCTGTATGGATTTCTTCAGGTTTGTGGATTGATTGGGGCGTGACATGCCTTCCCAAAATGTATGAGTTTATGGACTTTAAACTTTCTGCAAAGACTGTTCTAGTGGTGAACAAAAAGCTCAGACCTTCCTGGCCGATTCACTCAGGAGGTGAGTGGTACAAAAAAAACACAGGGAAGCCCTTGCTGGGGGCCTCCCCGTTAAAAGGACACCAAAAGGAAAAACCATCATTTTTCGGGTCCCCCTACTTTGACACTCACACACACATGAACACGATTCTTCAATCCATACCACAAGGGGGAAGCATTACAAAACACCCACACTGACCCTGGATAGATACACATAACAGCTTGCCGTGGGTTTTTTGCACCCTGCGCTTCATGGGCTTGGGATGCGACTGGGCGCCGGCATCGCTGCGTGCAACTTCGGAATTAAAGGATGCCCAAGGATGCGGCGCGTTTGTTCTGTGACTAGGGCTGGTCCCGCTGGTTGGTTAGGAGCTCAACTACATCAGGTAACTGCCTGACGAACTCCATCCAGCCCTTGCACTACTTTGTGCTGGACCATGAACAGCGAGAGCTACTGAGAGCAGCAGATACATTTTGCCACTACAGTAGCATTGATGAATAACAATGGTTTTCATCACTACTGCCAATCCCTGTTTTGCACTTCAGTTGACAAGGTACTACAAAGACCTTTTAACTGAGGGGCCGTGTCAAACTACATGCTTCACTTCTTGCACTTGTGTTGGTTGGTTGGTTGCTTGCTTGGTTGTGGCTTGCTTGCTTGTTTGCTTTGCTTGCTTGCTTGCTTGCTTTCTTGCTTGCCTACTTGGTTGTTTGCTTAGTTGCTTCGTTGCTTGCTTGCTTTGTTGGTTGCCTGGCTGGTAAACACCTCTACCTACGTACCGCTTTTGGGTTGGTTTAAAAGGGAGACCACCAATTTCGAGAGGCGTAGGTTTTCAAAATCGCCTGTACAGGCCACTTTCGCGTTGAGTTCCTACCGATGGTCCTTAAAAAGATCACCTTTAAGACTCACCTTGCCTAAAGCGAATCGACCCTTTGACAATCTCAATTCAGCCAGGTTGGTCATTTTTTAGTAAAGCTCAACTGTTCAAAACCGACTTTTTGGTTTTCCCTTTGCGGGTTCCGATTTTTAACCACAACCCAAAAAAGGTGGGGTCGCCTTTTAGTTCTGAATCCTTAAGGGGCAAGTGAGAAAGCGACCACCTTGCATTTCCAAGTCCACATCCCCTTTCTGAGGAAGACTGGAATACTAGGTCGTGGTCTTTGGGGGGAGGGTTCCCCTACAGAAATAGACAACAGAAAATATTGGTACCAACTTATCCTATCCTCTCAAATCTGGAGGATCTAGAATAAATGGGACCGGGACCCCTTCGGCTTTCTTATGGTAGGGGCTGAGGAAAACGGACGGTCCTTGCTAGGCGGAAGCTTTTAGCCTGGGACCCTGGTACTTCATCTCCCAGATGATCGGTGAGGCCACGCCCGACGTCTGGGGGGAGAGATGGGAGGGGGGGGCTCTGCAGGTCTTCCCAGGTGCAAAGCCCAGGAAGGACGAGGGAGAACGCCCTCCAGTTTTCGAGGAATCTGTTTTTTTGTTCTTTTGGGGGGGGGGGGAACTCAAGTTGGGTTGCGTCATGACTCGTAGTCCGAACCGAACTCAAGTACACCGAATATCATGGGGTCGAGTCGCTTTCTTCGACTGAGTCGAATTTTGGGCGCACGTGTGTTCGCAGTTGCCCACAACCGCAGATCAACAATCACCTTCTTGGGGGGGGTGTTTTTCGGGGGGACACCGTATTTTGTCCTTCAATTGGCTGTGGATCAAAAATAGGTACCCAAAATGGCACCCTGGCAAATGGAAACAATGACTAAAACCTACTAAAACCTGTGGTCCCCTGGTGGTGGAGTTTTGACCCATACCCAGTGGATGAGTTCACGTCTGCAGTTGTGTTGACCCACTCAGGGTCCCATCTTTGGTAAGCTCAAAACGTGGCATAACCCGCAGGTTTTGGGGCCACAAATGGAACCCTCGTGAGACCCCGAGCTTCGTTGTTTTTTGTGCCAAAAAGAAGGGGCTGGTGAACCCGTCCATCTGGGTGGAAAATACGGGTGTTTTTTATGTGTCTCTACTTGGGTGTACGGCCCAGTTTAGCAATTAAGTGGTCTGTGACCTAAGTTAGAACTCGGTTATAGCCCTTCTATGTGATGTTGACCCGGTTATTTAGTGGGTTACAACCCAGGCGGCCGACCACTTACTAAAATGGCCGACCACTTACTAAGTTATGTGCCCTTTTGGAGTTAAGATGGTGCTGGCAAAGGATGGCGAAATACACTGGGCTAAGCCGTCAGAATGTTTTTGTTTTGGGAGGCAGCGTCGCCTTCGTTGGACGTGCCAGTCATGGAGGCGCATGTTGACACCCGCCACCGCGTGTCAGGGCTTTGACTCGGTCGTCCCGTTTTTTTGTGTACTGAGGTTGGGCTCGGGAAATATGTCATTTGGGGCTGTCTTTTTCTGAGTACCTTTGTTTCGTGGTTTTAACGGGAAACCACCATGAGAAGCGACATCCATTTTGGGGGGTCCCCCAAACACAGTGACACGCAACCATATGTTAAGGTTGACTGGATATGAACCAGAACCTCAGCATGGTGTACCCTGGGGCTACTTTCGTCCTTGCCATTCGAAGAGGTTAAGACCCTTCGAGTTTTGGCTGGCTCCGCATGGGCCTTCGTCACTTTTGAGGCTGGACCATTTGACCCGGAAGGCCCCAGTCACCCCCTTGGCAGGTAACCACTCATTTGTAATTTATCTGTTGAAGGGGTGGTTTTGTTGGTTACCTATATTGCAAACGGATGAAAAGTTGAGACTTTTGTTGGTTAATCCAATTGATTGGAAGTAACTTGGTGGAGGCAAAGACATCTGCCTGAAGATCGGCCTTGCAGGAAGCACTGAGCTGGAATCCAGTTGAATCAAACCCAAGGGAGAGCCTGCGGGTGATAGGTATTGTCATAGGTGTGCAGAGGGCATGGGGTTGAACGTTTTGACATGAACAGTCCCTGAAACAAGGTGGTTGAAAGGCATGTTGACCCTGCAAACAGAGGTGCTTAAAAGAGGTTATACAGGCTGAAAAACAACCATCTCCCCAATGGTTTGATGGCCGTTGACGGGACCCGGGAAGAAACGCCAACTTTTTGTAGGTGTTTTTTTGTTTCTCGGTTTCCTTTTCAACCAACCTGAGAAGGAACACAGTTTCTGAAGATATTGTGATTGGACGATATCCTGCACCACATAAGAAACCCTGTAATAATTTGATTCGCCTGTAAATAGCAACAAACAATGGTTGCAACAATGGTTTCAAAGTGGTGTGAACGTTTCGTCCATCCACAGTAGTTGTTATCCTTTCAACCAACCTAAAATTGGTAGCCTTGAAACAAAACTCATCTTTCCTCTACTTGGTAGTTGGAGCCCGGTGGTTAAGGTATGCTTTCCCAGTTGTCTGCGAGAACCAGCGGTTCAAATCCAAATCCAAATCCGCAAATTGCACTGGCCAATCCGTGAAACTGCAAAACATATACGGCTTGGTTTCACCACTGCAAAACATGTTCGGTTTCACCACGCGTGTCGTTTTTGTTGGTACCCTTTTTGTTTGAGGGTCTTAAATCCGGAACCAAGCGGACAACCATCATTTTGGGGGCCTCTGACCGATCTGTCTGGTACAAACAAAAAAGCACTGTTGGTCACCTTCCTCAAACTCGAGCGAGGTTCGGCTCAAGAGCACCGTGAACTTCTACGAGCGGAACCGCGAGACCAGCTTGCACAAGGCGGGGATTCGCAGCATGCGACACGCCACCCCGGTGCGCACGGGTGTGCTGTTCTGGTCGAAAGTCGTCAAGGGTGAAGGGTGGTAGGTATTTCGCTTTCACCCCTGGTGCAATTCCTTCATAACCCCCGGTTTGCGTTTGCCAAGTCCTTTTTGTTGGCTCCTCAACATGTTTCACTTTAGCCTCCGTTTGCTTACCAGTCGGCTTTCAAGGACATCTATCACTACTCAACATACGCTTGTTTTTTTTTTTTGTTTTTTTTTTTTTTTTCCGGGGACTTCGGCAAACGGAGCAAGCGGATTCTACAAAGCCCGCAAGCATGAATTTCCCATCCAGGAAACCAAGCAAGTGCGCATATGTAATCTTCTACGACCTTGTCCAGATCCTTCCTCAGGTGTCCAAAGCTGCCCTTTAGGAATAAATCTGGATACTGGAAATGTCTGAGGGATCTGAAACTAGGTGGATTCCATCTACGCTCCGAATTGAAGTCAAATGGGCCATAGGGTCGCTTGGCGCTCTTTGAGTTGGAGGCTGCATAAGGCTGCCTTTGGTGGTTTTAAAGGGAGACCAATAGCAATAGCAAAACCGCAGCTTCTTGTAATGCCCACCCAGGCGGCATGGTTTGCAGGATGGGTGTCTCAAAATACTGTGGATGGTTGCGAAATCCGCTCGCACCACGAAATTAGACCGTGGTTGAAACCAGAACGCTTGCTGGTACTTACAGAGGAATCGAATCATTCCGTTGGGTGTCTGGACTGTGGCATGAAATGGAGTTCGCAACCATCCACAGTATCGGGTTGAATCTTCAACCTCTGACTTTAGCCAAAAAGTTTTCTTTTCACTAACCTGCGAAAATGATCATTGAAGATGCCCCCGGGTCTCACCGGGTCTCAGCGCCTCATTCCGCATGTGTTCCAAAAAAGTCCGGGGGCCCTCTAAACTGCGGACGCGGACGCGGGCACCAGGTGGTGGTCACGGACATGCTGGGCCTTTCGGAGTCTAGCGTCTCCAGCAACAGCGTGGGGAGCCCCGGAGCTCATCCTGACGCGAAATCCATTCGCACCACCGTTCAGAAACCCTGGTGTCGGATGATTCCCCTGTAAATACCAACAAAGCGAAGAAAGTATGGCTTAATCCAGAAATCGCACCATTCCGTTCAGAAACCCCACGGGTTTCTCTCCTAGAAATTGCTTGTCGCTTCTGGAAATGGTTTGCACACCTGAGACTTCTAGGAATCGCAATTATTCGGTACTTGACGGAAGGAACCCTCCAATTCAGAAATATTCGGAATCACACTCGTTCATTTGAATCAGACTCACTGATTCAGAATGCATATAATTTTGTTCCGAATTCACGTTATGGGCCAACGAAGCTGTGGCAACCAAGAGGACGGCCTTTGGAGCTTCGTGGCTTTCGCTTACGTGGCGTATCCACTGCACTCCATGGCTTTGAGTTCCCCGAACCCCGCCATTTCGCCCATCTCACAGCGGGCAAGGGGTGGCAAGGGGTGGCAAGCCCCCGCCCCGATTTCACACCGGGGGCAAGGGGTTCTTCTTTTGCTGCCCAAAAGGCTGGCTTCAAGGGAAACAGGTACTGGATTTCCCTTTCGAAGGTAGTGTACTGGTGGCTTCCATCGAAACGGCCAAATTCGGAAGTGAGGAGGCTTTCTCTTTTGCCCCGCGAAGGTGACGCCCACGACTCTTTCGGCCGTAGACAGCCTCCAGGCTCCATTGGGTAGGCGGGCGATGGGACGGCGCTTTCGGGTTGGGGCCACTCCCTTATCGCTTTAGATTTGTTTGGGGTTTGGACGGTTTTTAGTGGTAATCGAAAGTGTTCACTTCTGCTTAGCTCAATGCACTCAGAAAGTGAGCCAATGTTTGTCAAGGGCTTCGCGATAGCAAACCTAAAATGGAACAGTCAACAACCAATTCGGATACAGAAACTTATGTCCAAACAAACATGCGCAACAGGAACTTACGGATATTGTGGATTAGGCCCCACTAGGCAGTCTTGGGCTTTGTTGGAACAGGGGGGCCTGATGGCAGCTTTGACCATACCAAATACTAAATATGGTTATGGAGCCAAACTTCAAAAGGGATCCGAATGTAACAAAACATGATGTCTGTTCATGTGCAAGTGCAAACGAAACCTCAGCATCCATTCAAAAGTTGAGGCCATTTAACTACACCCGGGCCTTACAGGGGAAGGAGTTCCAAGGCTATGTGTTCGATCTGGAGAGTCCTTGCCACTCTCAACACGCGTCATGAGCTGCAACTTCTGCGCTTCGAGGAGGGCCAATGACACAGGGCCCGGCAGGGATTCGGCGCCTTTGGGGGCTGCATGTGTTACACGCGTGGCATCTGTTCAGTTTTTAGATGCAAATGGGTGGATCCAAGTAGAGACTCTCCCCAAATTGGTAGGTTTCCTATGAGCAGCTCTAAAAACCCCCCGTTACATCCCAAGCAAGAGTTGTGTCATAACAGGGCCCCGCGTAAGCAAAACGCTGCACGGCGTAAGCCGGCGTAAGCATTTTTTGGGGAAACATGCTGCGTAAGCACCTGCGTAAGCTCTCCTTCGTGATTGCTTGGTAGGCTTTGCAAGCATGCTCGGAAGAGTTGTTTCGCCCAGGTGTTTATTCGTGGCTTGTGCTGTTGCAACCTAGCCGAGCTTGGCAACTTGCTCGGAGCTTTTGGCTGCAGGAAGACGTCTAAGACCGCATGTGCGTGCCGTTAGAAAGCAACAGCAGGGCTTTGGTTGAGAGCTCTTGGGGCTCATGCTAGGTGATGTTGCAACCCTTTACTGGAACAAACAGGCTTCTGTAACCACTGATTTAGGGAAACCAAAGGGGCTTGGGCGCGTAAGCCCGCGTAAGCAGGCGCGTAAGGTTTGCGTAAGCTCGCCTAGCTCGGCTGCCCGCTAGCCCTCGCGACGGATGCCGCTACTGCATAATATGTTTCTCGACCTAAGAACAACAACGCCAAGCCGCTGAAACTCGCGAGGGTAGCTCTTCGTCATCTTCCTCAGAGTCGCCCACGTCATTTTGAACAGTTCTGGCGGCTGCATGAGACAAGGAGCCCGCGTAAGCAATTCTTGAGGGGAAGCGCTCAAAACGCCGACGCGCAAGCGATGCGTAAGCTTAACATGCTCACTGACTGCCGCGTAAGCTAAAACATGGATCGAGGTATTCATGGGAGGTTTATAGAGTCGCTCTATTGGCTTCCCAGGGTTCCTCAAATTCCTTTTCTGGAGCCCCCCCCCAAAATGGCAGTTTCGATGGAAGCCACCAGTAAATATCGCCAAGGCAACTCCAGTAACCCCCTGTTTCCCTTGAAACCCGCCTACCCTAAGAACTCAAGGGACTGGGAGCGTGGGAGACTCCCGAAGTCTGTTCTCAGCCCGGCTCGGGCTGGCTTACCTTGTTCGTATCTGAAAACGATCGTGTATCACTGGACGTGTTTTTTTTTTCCCCCAGGGTTCTTAGCCAACTGGAAGCTTCTGTTGCTCTCACCCCACTCGCCAGCTTTCACGAGAGCAGCGCGACGCTGGAAGCCAGCCTCTTGTCCAACAAGACGGTGAAAACCTTCAACGACATGCAGGCCATGGGATTCGGACAAAAAGAATCCGCGCTATCTGTTTGTTGCTAGTTTTGGTGTTTTATTTTGTTTGTGTTAAAGAAAACGTCAAGAACAAAAACAAACTTACTAGGCTTTACATGCTGCTTTCCTCTAGTTACCTACTAACTTTTGGGGGAAACATCGACACTCCTTTTTGGGAACATCACGCCGCCTTGCCTCCGACTCCGCCACCAAGCTTGCGAAGAGTGAACGCAGCCCGTGTCCAACTTTCCTTACATGTTCGCGCTATACCCCCCCCTGGCAAGCACGGCGCTTGGTACAAATATGACCTGGACCCTCCAAATGGTATTAAATGGTGATTGCCCCAGAATTATGGAGTGAATTCCGTTTGCTACGGGAAGCCTGAGGGTCCAGGTACTTTTAGCAGGGGGAACCCCGGTCTGCAGGAAACAACCAACTTAAGGTTGGTTGAAAGGGGAAACAAAAGGAGAACCATAATTTGTTTGGGGTCCGAATCCCTACATTGACGCATGCCCATATGTTTGGTTGGAAGGCCGCTTGGTTTCGAAGAATAAGTTTGAACCGATTGTTGTTGCCAATCCGCTCAGTGGATTTTATCTTCAGCAACCCTCTTTGTTTGGCGGGTTCCCCTACAAGAAAAATGCACAGTTGTTGTTCACCAATGCACTTAGGAAGTGAGTTGTGTATCCTTTGAGTTGTTGGGCTTTAGGCCAGGTTTCATGCTTGGTTCTCAGGTGCCAAGTACACAGGTTGAAGCCTTTCTTTGACCAATAATCGGGCTACCCGTAGATTTGGTTTGGCTGATTTGAGCCCCAGTACCTTCTGAAGCGAAATGGGCGATTTGGCATTTTTCAACGTCCAAGGCACCAAGCCACAAAGTAGGGCTCGGGTGAAACTTGCTCAAGAGGTGGGTGAGTGACTAACTAGTCCCCAGCAGCCCTGGGATCGCAGCCTCCCTGGTCTTCCTCTAGCGGCTAAGCGCACTCACTGCCAGTGGCTAGGGGGGAAAGGCCCATTAACGCTTTTTTTAGGATGGAGAGTATGTCTCAGATCAATCTTACGGACTTTCGTGGTGAAATCAGGATTGCCATAGTTTACCCTGAAGTCATGACCTCCAATAATGCCATTGTGAAGTCAGTTGTTGCAGGCCTTTCGGTTGTACATGGTTTAAATACCATGCAATCCCTGACACCTTGCTTTGTGACTGGCTTCATGCCACTTGCAGCGGCACCCACATGGTGTCAGTTTTGGTCGCCCCTTTAAACGGCGGCACTTGCCGGCAGCACTGCCCCAAAAAGGAACCGGCCGTAGTTTTCACAATCTCCGCATGGGACGCTTTGATTTTTGGGGTCCATTCTCACGCAAGACTTTCCACTATATGACCCCAAGGTGGCCTGCAACCCAGGGGTGGTTGATGTCAAAAGGACACCTCTAAGTTTAGTGTTGGCTCAATCTTAGTTTTAAAAAAGTTTTTTTACTTTTTTGGCCTGTCAACTCGATCGGAAGAGAGTTGGTGTCACTCATGTGTCTCACGCATTTGAATCGGTGCCTTGGCGCGATCATGCGCCAGTGCCAGGGCTCAACCTCCAGCCACTTCTTCGATGATACCATGATGTATTGGCCAGCCGGCCATTCACCCGCCTTGGTTTCTCGTGGGAACAACCACCGATGCTGAATGGGTGTGTCTTTTTTGAGGGTACTGTTTTTTACTTGTGGGTTTAAAGGGAAACCAAAAAGGAGCACCGCCATTTGCGCGTCCCCTGGAAATCAACATATTTCCAATAGTGATAGGTGTCCCTTTCAAACCCACAGGAGGGAATAATCACATATTCTTAAGCAGGAGGGCGACAATATTCCAAGCGAAGTCAAAAGAGGGCTGGATAAGATTGTTTCAGACCGACCACCCTCAGAGCCTCAGTCCGGTTGCTTACTGTTTCCTGGATTGTTGTTTGTTGTTTGAGTTCTGAACCTCCTGAATTGGCAGACATTGGTCTTGCAGGGATTCACGGATGGTTATGATATGTTGTTCCCATTTCAGTGGCAAACAAAAAGTTCACTCAGGAAGTGAGGTGTTTTGGTTATTGGAATTTTGGCGTTTGGCCATGGCGCCAAAAGGTTAAGCGTTTATATCTGAGTCCCTTGAACAACTGGGTGGAGCGATGCTCCATTTGGCTACCAAGTTAAAGTGTGGCTTTCACAAGTGGTCCCTTTTGAACCCCCAAAAGCGGTACCCCATGTCAATGGTTCCCCATCAACCACTCACTTCATCGAGGAAATGACCGCTATAAACCATCCAACTTGTGGTTTTCGTTAAGGGGACCCCTGGGTTCATTCCCTCATTCCCTACCCATCGCACCGGAGTCTTTGCCCATGAGAGGTGAGTTTCCCTTAGGTTGGGCATATATCGGTACAAGCGCCCAGCCTAAATTCAAAGCCCTTCCATTGCCAAAGAACGTAGCAGGAGTTCTGTGAATGAGGAGACGATTGCATGGGACCCGCTTGTGAAGCGGTTCATGATTTGAGCGTCCTGGAGCACACAGGAGTCAGTCTCGAGGGAGATAGTTGAACACATTCTGGACATACCTGCCACAAAGTTGCAGGAAGCGAAGGAGTACTGGGAGCACTTACCTGTGGCGCAGAGACCTGGGGCACACCGCATCTTTCGTCTTTGGTTCTATTTACCTTTCGAGGTGCCAGATGGGCGCCCATGTCTTTGAGCAGCCACCTGTGAACAACCGTTCAGCCTTTTTTGGTTTCCGTCACTTCCCCTTTCAACCAGCAAAACCGGAGAGACTTCTTTGGTTTCCCACAACTTCCCCCTTTCAACCAGCAAAACCGGAGTGACTTCTTTGGTTTCCCATCACTTCCCCCTTTCAACCAGCAAAACCGGAGGGACTTCTTTGGTTTCTGCAGATTCCCATCACTTCCCCCTTTCAACCAGCGGGACTTCTTTGGTTTCCCATCACTTCCCCATTTCAACCAGCAAAACCGGAGGGACTTTCTTGGTTTCCCATCACTTCCCCCTGTCAACCAGCAAAACCGGAGGGACTTCTTTGGTTTCCCATCACTTCCCCCTTTCAACCAGCAAAACTGGAGGGACTTCTTTGGTTTCCCATCACTTCCGGACGTCTTTGGTTTCCCATCCCTTCCCCCTTTCAACCAGCAAACCCGGAGAAACTTTTTTGGTTTCCCACCACTTCCCCCTTTCAACCAGCAAAACCGGAGGGACTTCTTTGGTTTCCCATCACTTTCCCCTTTCAACCAGCAAAACCGGAGGGACTTCTTTGGTTTCCCATCACTTCCCCTTTTCAACCAGCAGAACCGGAGGGACTTTCTTGGTTTCCCATCACTTCCTCCTTTTAACCAGCAAAACCGGAGGGACTTCTTCGATTTCCAATCACTTCAACCAGCAAAACCGGAGGGACTTTCTTGGTTTCCCGTCACTTCTCCGTTTCAACCAGCAAAACCGGAAAAGGGACTTTCTTGGTTTCCCGTCACTTCCTTCTTTCAACCAGCGAAACCGGAGGGACTTCTTTGGCTTCCCATCACTTCCCCCTCTCAACAAGGAAAACCGGAGGGACTTTCTTGGTTTCCCATCACTTCCCCCTGTCAACCAGCAAAACCGGAGGGACTTCTTTGGTTTCCCATCGCTTCCCCCTTTCAACCAGCAAACCCAGAGGGACTTCTTTGGTTTCCCATCACTTCCCCCTTTCAACCAGCAAAACCGGAGGGACTGTCAACCAGCAAAACCGGAGGGACTTCTTTGGTTTCCCATCACTTCCCCTTTTCAACCAGCAAAACCGGAGGGACTTCTTTGGTTTCCCATCACTTCCCCCTTTCAACCAGCGGGACTTCTTTGGTTTCCCATCCCTTCCCCCTTTCAACCATCAAACCCGGAGAAACTTTCTTGGTTTCCCATCACTTCCCCCTTTCAACCAGCAAAACTGGAGGGACTTTCTTGGTTTCCCATCACTTCCCCCTTTGAACCAGCAAAACCGGAGGGACTTCTTTGGTTTCCCATCACTCTTTCAACCAGCGGGAGTTCTTTGGTTTCCCATCACTTCCCCCTTTCAACCAGCAAAACCGGAGGGACTTTCTTGGTTTCCCATCCCTTCCCCCTTTCAACCAGCAAACCCGGAGAAACTTTCTTGGTTTCCCACCACTTCCCCCTTTCAACCAGCAAAACCGGAGGGACTTCTTTGGTTTCCCATCACTTTCCCCTTTCAACCAGCAAAACCGGAGGGACTTCTTTGGTTTCCCATCACTTCCCCTTTTCAACCAGCAGAACCGGAGGGACTTTCTTGGTTTCCCATCACTTCCTCCTTGCAACCAGCAAAACCGGAGGGACTTCTTCGATTTCCAATCACTTCAACCAGCAAAACCGGAGGGACTTTCTTGGTTTCCCGTCACTTCTCCGTTTCAACCAGCAAAACCGGAAAAGGGACTCACTTCCTTCTTTCAACCAGCGAAACCGGAGGGACTTCTTTGGCTTCCCATCACTTCCCCCTCTCAACAAGGAAAACCGGAGGGACTTTCTTGGTTTCCCATCACTTCCCCCTTTCAACCAGCAAAACCGGAGGGACTTCTTTGGTTTCCCATCACTTCCCCCTTTCAACCAGCAAAACCGGAGGGACTTTTGTTGGTTTCCCATCACTTCCCCCTGTCAACCAGCAAAACCGGAGGGACTTCTTTGGTTTCCCATCGCTTCCCCCTCTCAACCAGCAAAGCCAGAGGGACTTCTTTGGTTTCCCATCACTTCTCCCTTTCAACCAGTAAAACCGGAGCTTCTTTGGTTTCCCATCACTTCCCCCTGTCAACCAGCAAAACCGGAGGGACTTTCTTGGTTTCCCATCACTTCCCCCTTTTTACCAGCAAAACCGGAGGGACTTCTTTGGTTTCCCATCACTTCCCCCTTTCAACCAGCAAAACCGGAGGGACTTTCTTGGTTTCCCATCACTTCCCCCTTTCAACCAACGGGACTTTCTGGGGTTCCCGTCACTTCCCCCTTTCCACCAGGAAAAACTTTCTTGGTTTCCCATCACTTTCCCCTTTCAACTTGCGGGACGTCTTTGGTTTCCCATTACTTCCCCCTTTCAACCAGCAAAACCGGAGGGACTTCTTTGGTTTCCCATCACTTCCCCCTTTCAACCAGCAAAACCGGACGGACTTCTTTGGTTTCTGCAGTTTCCCATCACTTCCCCCTTTCAACCAGCGGGACTTCTTTGGTTTCCCATCACTTCCCCATTTCAACCAGCAAAACCGGAGGGACTTTCTTGGTTTCCCGTCACTTCCCCCTTTCAACCAGCAAAACCGGAAAACCTTTCTTGGTTTCCCATCACTTCCCCCTTTCAACCAGCGGGACTTCTTTGGTTTCCCATCACTTCCCCCATTTCAACGAGCAAAACCGGAGGGACTTTCTTGGTTTCCCATCACATCCCCCTTTCAACCGGGGGGAGGCGGGGTTCGCCTCCGTTGGCCCGGAGGTACTTGAAGCGCAATGTCTTTCAGAGCCTCACGGACTTCTTTGAGCACAAGGCAATCGGACAAGTCCCCTCACTCGTCACGTCACTCGTGTCCGGAGAGATTTCGAGGGAAAGGAGCCCCGTGGATGTTTGGGATGCAGTTGTTTGTTGACGTGAAAGGAGGACAAGAAGGAAGGCACTCGACAAAAACTGGGGGTCCATGTTGGTGGTTTGTGGAATCATCCAGAATTCACTTTTGAAGTTTTTGGGAGGATCAGGAAGATCATCGCCTTGTGGCAAGTGCCTGGCAATGCCTGGACGGTGTTTGGAAGGGATCTAGCCAGGGCACTTGCTTCATAACATGAAGCCGGTAGGCAGCATCAAAGACCGATAAATTACCCTGGTGCGTGGTAGGTTCAGTTGCAAGTCTTAGAGTGTCCACCATGCCACCGTTGTTGGGGGTCTGGTATGGCTGTTCGGCCAGGTTAGTAGTAAGTGGTTAGCCATTTGTGATAGAACCCAGTCAAAAACACGGCCAACTCCATTTCGCGGGCTTATAAACCGGGTTACAACTTAGCTTACACAACTTGCCAACAAACCTGGCAGACACCCACTAGGTCCCCCAGGTGCCGTTTCACCAAATCTTTTTTGGTTGGGCGGGTTCCCCTAAAATGGGCAGAAACAAATCAGGTACCAACTTATTCTAACCTCTCTACTGTTTTGAGGGCGGGTTCGAACGCCCGACTAAGGGCTCTGTGTTTTTCGGGAAGCCACGGAAAAGAATCGGAGTGGCTTCAATCCCTGCAGGTCGCCTTGTACCTCAGATTCGACAGGCAGGGCATCAGCGCGCAATGAGTGGGAGAAAAAACAAAGCAGAGTGGTCACTTCTGACGAGGAGCTGCTATCGCGGAGTACCGCATCATCCTCAATACATTTCCTTAAGGGTCCCTTGGCACCTTGTGAGGATATACTTTGACCCTTTTGAACCATCAAAACCATCCTCGAAGGGTGGGGCTCTTCTTTTTTTTCACGCACGCCAAGTGGTTTGTGGCGCTTCATAATACCTGAGCCTGAGCCATAGCAAAGGTAGCCTTTGCACCCTAATAGTGACTAATACGGGCCGTTTCGGAGCACTAGGTGGCTCTCTCTCTCTCTCTCTCTCTCTCTCTCTCTCTCTCTCTCTCTCTCTCTCTTTTCAACTATTGGGAAGTGTCGAAACCGGGAGATCTTAAGAATCATAGTTTTTCTTTTGGTTTCCCCTTAACTTTAAAGCGACTCCAAGAAGGGTAGCCTCAAGAAAAGACAGATCCATATGGCTGTGGGTCAAAACCAATGGCACCATTTTGGGGTAGGTGCACCACCCATTTTACTCTATTTTATGGGGTGGATTGGGATGTTCACTGGGGTACGATTTGGATTTTGACCCATGGCCATATAGGAATCGGAGCTCGGGGAGATGATGTTCGTTCTTTTGGTATCCCTCGTTAAGAGGGTGGTCCTTCGGCTTCCTTGTTTTGATTTGCTTGCCTTATACCGCAAGTATGGCTTTTATTGGGCCAATAGGGACGGCAATCTTCATCCAGACACATCGCCGACCCTGAACAGCTTGTCGCCAACTGTTGTTTTTCATCCGGGTTGTGGTTGATCACTCGTGGTTTATGCAACCACTTCTGCACAAGCAAATCTCTCCTTTTTTATGGGTTAGTCTTTGGAAAGCCCCCCAGCCGTCTTCGATTTCCGCAGGCCCCGGTTTTTCCTTGAAAAATCGCCCCCCCCCCCCCCCACCCAGCAGCCGTCGAAAGGTTGCGGGGGTTCGAATCGGGGACATCCCATTTGCATTTGCGATCGCAGGGACCAGCTCCGCCAGCTCAAGAGCTGCCAGCTCCAAGTTCGGGGGCCGAAATTTTGGGGGCAGGACATGGTGTCATATCTCAGGGTTTTGCTGGTATTTATATGGGTGTGGCTCAACAAAAACTGAGGTAGGGATACGCAGGCTTTGACTCTTTGGTGTCATTTCTCTTTCTGACCCTTGAAAAATAGGTCAATGACCCCATCATTTTGGGCGATGACTCCATATTTCAAGGGTCATGGATACTCTCCTGACGATTCAGATGGAACCCAAACACACCATCCTTCGTAGAGGAATCTCCTTTCAAGTGACCACGTTTTGTCGGTTCCATGTTAACTTCAGGGGAGTACTTGGATGTTCGATTCGCCAAGTTAGAAAGTGGAAAAGGCCACCTGGGGTATAACCCACCAAGAACAAGTTGTTAACTCCCCCTGAACGGGGGACTTCTCTACGCGGGTTATAACCTAGGTTACCAACAACTTGCTAAGTTGGCCGAAGACCCACACATTTTTGTTGTTGGTATTTAGGTTGGGGAATGTAAATTCATGTTTTAGTGTCGTAGGTGCAGGGTTTTGTCCATCCACAGTACAAAGGAGCTACAGGAGAGTGTGTTTTATTGAGGAATTGACCAAAATGCTGATTTTCCTGTTGGTTTCCCTTTCAATTTCACGAGGAACAAGACACACAGGAAGTTCCACATTGGACTTCCGATCACCGATGAAGGAAAAGTCGATATCCCCCAAAATGCCCCCTTTTTGCTAGTTTCGCAGAGGGTTCAAACGACCGTTAACCCGTTCGGCCCACTTTGAATGCTGGGGCTCTGTAGATGACATATTTAGAAGGTGACTAAAGAAGCAGAATCTGAACATCTAAATTTTCTGAGTACCCCGGACGTGCCCCCCAACTCAGGCGTGCCTTTTGTTGAGGGGACTCCCCAAAATGGCAGTTGCTTTTGAGTTCGCGCCTGGACACCAGACTTTCAACTTTCGGGGATGGACCATGTTGGTGGTAAACAATAAGTGCGCGGAAAGGCGGTGGACATAAACCACCCAAGGGTTCTCAATTAAAAAAGACACAGCCAAAGTAGTCTGTGCTGGGCTGCTTAGATCTTTCAACTTTGGGTAGGCGCGTGTGTCAGGATTTGGAGTTGGACCGTGGCTCGGCTCGTTGCCCCCAAATGTCTCTCGTCGGCTTCTTTGCAGGATGTGACCGGCACTTACCCACTTGGGTTTTGATATGCAGACTGCCGATATGACGCATACCTTGGGTTTGGACACCGAGGTTGCATATGTTTGCCGTGTGCCTATTTTGCCAGGCAAAGGACTCCGGTTTGTTCTCTTTTTGTTTGACCCCGAACCTTGTGCTTTTTTTTGCTACCACTGAACGGGGGTGACTTTGACGGTGGTGAAATGATGGGGGCTGTTTTATCCCACAGAAGATGTCGTTACTCTCCACCAAAAAACACCTACACCAAGGTGGGTCTGCTCAACCAGGCTCTCTTCAACTTGGTGAAGGACTGCGATGTCTTGACAAACGATCCAAAGCCTTCTTAATACTTCGTAAGTGGGTAAAAGCCATGGCCATGGTGAGATAACACAAAAAAGCCATGGAGTTGTATGTGTCCTAAATGGGTGTGTTAGCCAGGCTTACTCTCAACTTGAAGGACCTTCCTTCTTTCCACGGATGGGTTGATTCCCTCGGCATCTTTTGGGTTCCCCAAAAACCGAGCTGAAGCGTGGCCTCAAGAAAGCACACGCCCCAAACACTCCTTTTCCTCACTTCCCGAGTCCCTGGACTTTATACTTGTTGAGAAGACGTTTTTAGTGGCCAACAACAACAACAACAACAACAACAACAACAACAACAACAACAACAACAACAACAACAACAACAACATCAACAACAACAACAACAACAACAACAACAACAACAACAACAACAACAACAACAACAACAACAACAACAACAACAACAACAACAACAACAACAACAACAACAACAACAACAACAACAACAACAACAACAACAACAACAACAACAACAAGCTCCGACCTTTTGTGGACCATCCACTCGGGAAGTGAGTTTCCCTTGTGCCAGATGGTAGTTTTGCTACTAATTCCTTACTCAGGATGACGTGTGATGGATGAACGTTCGGGATGCCCCTCCTTCTCTGCCGCCCCGCTAATGGAACAGCCTATGTGCCACAAAGCATTCCCTGCGGGTCACGTACTTTTACAAGAAGTGAGTCTAGAATGGACACGCCTGCCCCAACCTGTTTCTCAAGCATACTCGTGTTTCACAGTCGGTTGCCTCTTGTTGTTCTGGTTGTCTAATTTTATAGGACCTGCATCGAACCTCGAGTTGGGTATAGACTTTCTCGGAGCACTGGAGAAAGGACGGGAAGCGGAATGCCGGACACGACCCAACCCATTGGACAAGCAAACAAATAGGTTGGACTTGTTTGTCCAACTCGGGCAGGGACTTGGGGTGATTTTTTTTAGGGACCCCCGAAAAGTAGTTGTTTTCCTTGCGTCTTCTCTTACAACCATCCAAAAAGGGGGTACCCTAAAAACAGACAGTGACATATCAGGATCGGTTTCCTCGTGTGTTCCCCTTAAACCCACCAAATCGGGGGGGAACCTAAAAAAGGCAGTGACATGGCAGGACAATGTGAAGCAAGATCGCCGGCTCTTCGGCGCCTTTCCGTTCTTCAAGCGCTGCACTCAGCCAAGGAGGGAAGCGGTCGAGGCACCAAAATTGAAGGGGCCCCGTGTTTCTTGAACTCAGAAGTTCGTAACAAGGTAGTTTGACCTCTAAGCTTTACATCGTGGTTTGCCGTGGTTACCTACTTGGATGTTCGTTGCCAAGATGGATAGTGGTGTTGGCCACCTGTTAACACTGAAGAATAGGTGAGTTTGTCCAACTTTGCCTTGAACACAATCCAGTTCAATCAAATCGTACGCGGGCTACACTCCAAACGTCACTGTGTGCAGTTGTAAGCCAAAGGTGGAGTGTCAAAACTACCTGGACAATTTGCGAAGGAGATATGTCTGCGTCCTTTGGGCCACCCTCGGATCGAACGCGGGTCATCAAGTTTTGCTGCGTGAGTTGCTAAAAAAACACATAGCAGTTGGAGAAGGAGCAGTGGAACAGTGCTGGGCGCTGAGTTGCCAGTGATTTCTTCTTCATGTGCCCGAAACCAACTAGCGGGGATACAGGGGGAACCAGAAATACGGGATACGGGAGGCTTCCCCTAAATGCACCTTGACTAAGTTTGATATGGGAAATGGCGCCAAAGGAATCCCTCCATATCCCCGCTCCCTCCTTATCCCCGCTTGTTCGTTTGTCCAACCTGAAGGAACCGACTGTGCTTGGGTTCCTGACCCACTATAGTCTAGCAGGTAACCAGCGAGTTTGATCTGTAGTTTTTACATCATGCTTTTGCATTGTTTGCCTACTTGGATGTTCGTTGCCAAGTTAGGAAGTGGTTGGCCACCTGGGTAAAAACCCGGAAGTAACAAGGTTAACTCAGCTTAGGGAGACTCATTAGCGGGTTATAACCTGCGTTTCCAACAACTCACAAACTTGGTCGAACACCCATACAAGGACAACTAGAAGCCTTGGGTGAAGTTTCACTGTTGTCATGTTACTGAGGTCAAATCCATTCTGCTGGACTCCGGACAACTGGAATGATCTTACGCATAGGCACGGTCCGCGCTTGGGAACTGCCCCTCCAAGTCTCTTCTTGTCAAGGCTTTTTCCCGGGCCCTTGAAACATTTTCGCACAATCGGGTGTGCCACCCTTTTTTAGGGGATTATGAACATTGTTCCTCTTCAAATTCCCTTGAAAATACCAACAACGGGAGACCCCAAATCAAAGACAAACCCAAATATGGTCTAAGCAGCCTCCCATGTCCAAGGGACTGGTTGTGCAAACACAGATTTGCAACTACCCTGGGAATTCACTCACAGTTTCTGCCTTTTCCGGCCAGCCTTCTGAAAAGCAGGACCCCTGCAAAGCAAGCACTGCCAGAGCCATGGTGTGCTGCGTGCGGTTTTGGCACGGCGGGTGTGGTGGGACCCGGTCCGCTGTTGTTGCATCGGTCAAGGTGAAGCAGGGTTCCTTGTACTTCTGGGCTTTCGATATCACCTTAAAGGTGAGGCAATTCGAAGCGAGAACTTTGTTAGTGCTGCCTACCATTAGATCAAGTAAGTGACTAGGGACAACCATCATGCCAGACCTCGAGATCAAAACTCTGAAGGGTCACCTGATATAGCGGTTTGCCTGAATGCACCGGGCTTAGTGGGGTCTTCCCCAGAACTGGTTCCCCTTTTTATTTGTTTTTGTTTCTTTAGGGTTCCCTTTGTTTTCCACTACCAGGCAAACAATGATCCTTTTTTGGGGTCCTAATTCCAGCCTGGTGGGGTCATGTTTACCGCTGGCAAGGAAGAGCCCTCAACTGCCTTGGATCGGTGATGTCTGCAGGTCTTCCGGCTAGCAAGGCTCCCTTGGTAGCCACCAAGAAGGTACTCTGCCCCTTTCTTTTTCCTGGTTCTTCCAGGAAAAGCCAGTATAGTAGGTAACCAGGGGAAGCCATCATGTCAAACGAGGCAAGACACCCTGCCTGGCTCGTGTAGTGGTAACTGGAAGTGGGTAAAACACCACCCCGGCTGGGACTTGGAGAGAGATGATTTTTGGGTTGGAAAGGATGCTGCTGTTTGCTTTACACAACTTCGGTCCAGATATCCAAGAGTCATAGGCCAGGGGACTCTCTCATTTCATTTCAATAAAACCACGACTCGCGCGGAAGAGTCCACGAGTCCGTGCGGCAACCCCTACATTTCGCCCGTACCCCAGGTGGGTTTCCATTTGTTTGCGCCAGGTTCGCGCCTGCGGCGGACGAAAGTGTTACGGCCAATCTGGTTACACTCCAGGTGCGGCTGGGAGGGGAAGAGAGAGTGCGCTTCGCGCTTGCGAACAGCAAGTGGACTGCGTGTTGCGTCCACCTCGGGCCAGACTTAATTTGTCGCCTCAAGGACTTAGGCACCGCAAAGCAACGTGTTGCAACACGCAAAGCACCCGCCATCCTCAACTACACTGACCTTCAACACTCTGAAACGTCTTGGACTGTAAACAAAAGCGAGTTTGTGCTACATAGATCCCCAAATAACACTGTCTCCCATTGGATCCAAAGAAGCCGAAAGCAACGGACATCGACGAACTTGGTCACTGCGGCCAGTTTCTCTAATGTATATGTCATGACCCTTGGTAGAAACAGGGATTTGTGGTTTTTGAGTTCGGGTTCCTTTTGAAGGGGACCTATCCGGGGTCAACCAAGCTACTCTGCTCGAGTCAGAATCCCATACTTAAAGGGCCAGGGTTCTGAGTAAGTGGGTAACCATGGTGAGATAACCCACACAAGCCATAGCCATAAGTCTCCTTTCAGTGGCTTAGAACCAGGCTTACGAACTACTCGCATGACGTATCCGAACCCCTTCGGTACTTTTACCTTGGCTTTAGATGGCTTCCCCTGGTGACCTATAATGCCTTGCCTGGAAGCATTGGGAGCTTGAATCTTCAACCTCTGACGTTTGGGAAAATGATTGCTTTCACGAAACAGCAAAAGCAATAGTGAAGATGCAACTCTACCACCGGGTCTTTGCATCATTCTTCCGGGTGGCCTCCCACCACTCGATGTGTCTTCCAACAAGTATAAAGTTCAGGAACTCAGGGAGAGGGTGCTGCTGAGTAATAGACTACTATTGAGTCTTACTAAATTGGGCAGATGGATTCTTGTTTTTACCGGACAAACACAAATATAGCTATGAGTCAGGGTAGAAAGAACATGGGGGGCCTTTTGGTGGCACTCCAAAAAATGCATGTCCATTTGTTGAAGAGGCACAAATGAAAACCAAGCCATTTGAGTCGTTCCCTGTTTTGGAAGCACCAATGTTTCGTCAGGGGAGGTGGCGGCGAACAAGCTCGAACTTTGTGTTTGGCCATCCACTCAGAAATTGAGTTTTAAATCAACTATGGAGTCTCCACGACCCTTCGAATTCGACATGGGGTCATATACCCCAAATTACGAGTTGCTACTGAACGGCGGTGTGTGGCTGGCAGATTTGTTGTCCCATCGAAAGCGGAAATATGGGTGTTGTCAAAAACAGGGTAACCCCGAAATGGGTTGCCATGACAAATGGAGACCTGGACTAAAGCCTGCGGTCCATATCCTGGTTGAAATTTGACCCACTTAGTAAGTGGGTAAAAACCATGGTTATAAGTTGTAACCCACATAAGCCATGGTTATACGTCTCCATTTGGTAGGATGTAGCTCCAGCCTTACTAACCACTTACCTGACGCACCCTGCCTCGATCGCCCCTTTAAGCACACACTCGGGGGGCGGAGGGAGTTTAAGGGAATCACGTGGTAAACACTTGAAAGCTGTTTCCAGGTGCTTGGCGCTTGCCATTATAGTAGTCCTGGTTTGGATCATTTTCCTTTAAGAGGGACCCCCGAACGCCAGGTTCCATGTTACTTGGTGGGAGGGTACACTTTCGGTATTTTCACCTCCTACTCTTTACAAGATGGTTTCCCCTGCTTACCTACTACAATGGCTTGCCTGGAAGCAATGGGAGGTTGAACACCTTTGACCTTGACTACTATGGGGTTGGATCTTTAGACTTTAGCTTTTTGGGAAATCAAGGGGTGTTCCACTAAACCCACAAAATGTTAATCTTTTTGCACAGGAGTCAACAGCAACCAAGCGACTTTTGGTAGAATGATATGGCCAAAAACAATTCGAAAGCGGGAATCCGGGAAGGCCACTTTGAAGCTCTCCGAGCTTCTGGACTTCCTCTACAACAAAGATTGGACGGTCCCAGAGGCGCGGGAGAAAACACAAAACGGCAATCCTTGCCTTGCACGAGGTTTCGGTGGCGGTGTTTCACTATCTCATGCCGTTTGTTCTTTCAGGTTGCTTCAATTTTGCTTACGAACCTTGTTTATTTTCCCCCACTGGTTCTCAGGGGAATAAACTTCTGACGGTTTTTTTGGGGGGGGACTGAAGAAAACGGAGGTTCTTCTTCCAGGTAAATCCTTTCGCCGATGCCCCCGTTTTTCAATCCCAGGGTGCCAGTGGCCAGTCTACTCGAGTGCACCTGCAAGATCGATGAAACCACACAATCCGTTGTTGGCTACATACCAGTTTACAAGCTACAGATGTTTGTACATAGTTGCATAAACACATATTGTATCTAGAGTGTTAGTCTATGTACATAGTATGTATACACACATTATATATATATACATGTTGATACCAGCCGCATTGCAGCTAGGAGTACAGCCTCAGGGACACCTGACAACATAAGAAAACATGGCGCATGGCTCGCTGAAGCAGCCAACAGTGGGCATGTGCAGATGTGGTGGTTGCTTGTGTGGAAGTCATAACTGCCCGAGACTCGACTTCTTCAGTGTTTAGACCCAAGGCCCAAAGATTTCCATAGCAAGCCCTTGCCCGCTTGGAATTACGGCTCGTGCGTCTTTTCACGTTTGTCAAGCCCCTTTGGGTTCGCGTGGTTGTCACCCTTGTTTGTGTTGGCAAGAGGCGTGGGCTGGCTTGCTCACGCACCTGTACTTCAGTCAGAGTGCAGTCCAAATAGCCCAACTGCTAAGCGGAAGGGCGAAAGAGGGTATACTTTGTGGAGTCCCTTAGGGGGGGGGGAATGGTCCAAGAGGGGGTTCACTAAGGCTCCCTCAGGAGCCCTAAGGCTTTTTGGTAAGGAACCCTAAAGAACCCACAATGTGCTCTCAACTACCCATCCCCCACATACCTACCCTGGATGGGGTTCCATAAATACTGCCTCGCAAGCTGGCGGTGGCACACCCATTGAAGTTTGTGGCCTTTGGGTGGCATGTGAGAAATTATCACGTGCACAGACGTCGATATTTGGATAAGCCTACCCAGCCGGGTGGGCATAGGCATCGTGTTCAAGAAGGCGGCCTTTTTCATTGGTCCTCTTTGCGACTTTCTGTCAAAGGGAAAATAATTGGCCCTTTTGGTCTAACTCTTGTGTTTAAAGTTTGTACAAAACGTGTGTATGTTGCATGTTGGGCCCAGTGGCTAGTCATTAAAGCAACCCTACTCACCAGAATGGTAGAACCTAAGACCCGCTTCTCAGAAGGTGCGAAGAGAATTCTTGGGTTGAAGGGGGCGGGCCTAGGTGTTTCCCCTGATTGAAACGCTTGTGGTTTTCTTTACACCGTTTTCGTGTCGAACGTCATCGACCCATCCGCAGGGGCAGGAAGGCACCGGCTACAACTTGAAGCTGAGGCGTGGGCCAAGGGCTATCACTCGCTGAGTGAGATTTCGGGGGGCCGTTCGATAGGTGTGAAGTATATTCTGGGTCAACCAGTAGTGCCCTTTTACCCTTTCTTGGGGGAGGGTTCTCTTATTAACATAAACTACAGAAAAAAGGGTACCCTTATTCTAACCTCTCCACTGGAGGACCTAGCATTGGGAACCCTTTGGTGAACATTAATAACCGGCGGGGATGTATTTCCAACCATTTTTCAGGGGTTCCCTGCCTCTTGAAGCAGGGTACTTCGTAAGTGGTTAGTTAGCGATCGGTTGCCCACTGAACGGAGACTCAATACAATGGCTTTTGTGGGTTACAGAGAGGCTTACCCACCACTTACTAAGTGCCCGATCGCCCCTGTAAGTAGACCCAAAGTGCTTTCTCTCAACATCAGATAAGCCATTTTTTTGTTTGGATAGGTGGTTTGGATCTGGAGTCGAACCCCTGTGGGGGTTGATCCAAAGGTGCTTTACATGGGATGACCATGGAGGAAACCACTGCAAACATCCACTAAATGGGACAAGTTACCCATGGACCTGGCTACCCTGGTGAACATCAAGCTAGGTGGCAAATGGATGTTCATGGCAGTGGAGCAGGCTCGGGGAATCGGAGCTGCAGGACAAAGCTGGACGGAGAGTGCGACACCTACCCGGTGCGACCAATCCGCCGCGTGGCCGTGTGGGGGTAGCGCCGGGGGGGTTCAATCCACACAGGCCACAATCAAACTCGGGTAGATGAAGGTTAAGGGACAATCGCGACGGGAAATAAATCAGCCGCCCTTTTAATTCCTTACATTGCTCTGGGGTCTGGGTGCAGGGATGTGTGTTCTGCCAACCAGAGGCGGGCGTGCAAACAGGTTTCCAGTGGAACCATTCACCTTCCAGGACCTTCTCAGTGGGTCGCGAAGCGGTTTTCCGCTCGCTTTTTTACGGGGGGGGTCTCACACCCTGAGTCCTGGAAAAGACACTTTTGTAGGAAGACCGCTTTTCGTGGAGAAACATCAGTTCCAATCCACTGGACGGGAAGTGAGGGCTGAGCGCCCCTTTAAGACAACTCCTTTCAAACCAAAGTGCCCTTGTCTTGCCATGGAAGTCCATTGGAGGGGGCCTCAAACCTTGAAAGCTTCAAGGGTCTCGGAAAAAAAAAAGCCGCGCGCAAAGCTGCGGGGACAGCGGGGACACGTCCAACGAAGAGGTGATGAGTGCCCAGGTCTTTGAAGCGAGATGTGAAACAAAAGCGCAGGTTGCATGTTGTAATTGAGATTCGGGTGGATGACTCCCATCAAGGCTTATGAAGCTGCCCCATATAAGCAAATTAACGAGCTCTGCACCGGTTCGAGTCACGGTCTGAAAGTTGAACCACGATTTCTGGGTGCTTTTGGGCAAGCGAGGCTGGTAGTAGGGCGGATTACAAAGCAGGACATGGGTTGCCTTTTTGCCACAACCAATCAGCAACTGGGTGGATGTGTTTTCAGGGTACCCATGTCAAAAGGAACGCCATCATTAACAAAAAATATGTGGGGTCCCACAATTCCAAAACGCTCCTAGGTCCCCCAGTAGTGCCCTTCTCTCCTCTTTTTTGGGGGGAGGGTTCCCCTACTAAAATAGACGTCCTGCAAAAAACAAGTGCTACCCTTATTCTAACCTCTCTACTGGAGGACCTAGACTCAAATGCACAAACCCAGTTGCTAGGTAGTCGCAGGCCGTTCAAGCAAGCGCCTCCTCGCCGAGCGCGCCTGCGTCCTTGGCCTCGGCTCAAGATTCGTTTGGATGCTCAACTTGCGGCCATCTCCTCCTTACCTCACTTGCCCTCAGCGAATCCACCGGATCTGTTGCTTCATTTTAGCCACGGCCAAATGTTAACCCTTGATTTCCAGATCCTTTGGCCAACTGAGTGGCAAATTGGGTTGGAGGATTTCGGATTTTGGAGGGAAGCAGATCATGTTCTGCTGATGGGCTGCATGTTATCATCGGAATGGATTCGTGGAGCGCAAAATGTTTAGTTAAGCTTTGCTTGGATGCCAAATTGAGTACCATCAACTCTCGCTTAAGAGGCAGCCTCACATTATAGATCCATCACGCCCTGAGTTCCTGGACTTGTTTTTTTTGGGGGAAGACCATAAGTAGCAAGCAATCAGTGCTGGTTGCTTGTATTGGCCCATTCACTCAGGACGTGGGATGTATGAACACGTTAACTCTCGGCCTCTGGCCATTTTTGCCGAGCTAAGCGTTTGAAAAGCCTTGGCCAACGCGTGCGCTGGGTTTCAGACCGGCGCATCTCGCATGCTTTCGGCGTGGCGTTGGGCAAATGGAAGAGCTTGTTCTTCGGCTTGCCGCCGCCAACCCGGGAGTGTCCGAAGAGGAGACATGGCCAGACTTGCTTACATTTTTCGTGGTTCGATAGGCATTGAGTTGGGTTACTTGCGTGCTCGATTTGCCAAGTTGGTTGTTCATAGCCTAGGTTATAACCTGCTTATAAGCCCCCGTTCAGTGGAGTTAACCTTGTTATTAGTTCCAGTTACAACCCCGGTGGCCTTTTCCACATAGCAAGACTTGGCCGACCGAACATCCACGTACGTACCTTTTGCTGGCTGGTTCGATAGGGTCCTGAGTCCCTGAGTTTCAATGCCCCCGAACTGAACCATGCCACTGGTCAACTGGTGGTTTTGTAGGGGATCTCTGGGTTGGTTCAACCCCCTGTTGATAACCGGCATGATGTTTTTTGCGCTGATCTTTCCTCGAGTCGATGACTCTTCAGAGATAGTGTGCATCAATGGCCCCATTTTCAGGGTCATGGACGCGGGTTCCTTCATTTCCCCTTGCACCCAGCAAACCCTTGCAAGACGCTGACTCCATCTTTGCAAGGGGTTGGATCGATGAAAGGAGATACGGAACTACGCGCAGCAGCGATGGGGCCACGCCTGCGAAGATTCGGCGCGTTTTGCTTGTTTTCGAGTGCAGGGAGGTATGTGATGCCCAGGGTGAGAGCGAGTGACTAGTTGGCACATGTTGGCACTTCGGCAAGAGTGCCGCGAAATTCAAGGCACAAATTCACATACATACTAAACATAAGGCTTTACACAGTACCTCCAGTTACCACTGTAGTAGGTAAATGTTTACATTCCTGGTAAACTACTTTAACGGCAACTGGAAGCACTGGGTTTTAGGTTCCATTGTATGAGGCAGCATCCGCAGCTGAGGCAGCACATTCTTTTCTCGTGACTAGGTGGTGGACTCAATAGCGTTCGTTCCGCTTTACAAAGCCGTGACGGCTGGCTAGTTACTAGCCCCCTTCGGGAGAGCTCCGTTCTTGGATGTTCAACCAACTTAGTCAGTAGGTTATCATACAGAGGAAAAAAACAACAGCTAGCCAAGATATCACCATGGTCAGGGCAACGGACATCCAAGTCTAGAAACCGGTTTGGCGTTTTGTGGATTTCACCTGTTCTTCCCCGTGCCGGTTCTTTTTTAGTAATATTTTAGTGCTCTTTTAATATCCAACAGGGGTGGATCGGATTCGCCGCATCCAAACCGGTTTCTAGACCAAGTGCAAGGCAGCTAAATATAAAGATGATATGGTCCCCCACAAGGCACGTCGTTGTTGTCCAGATTCTTTCAAGCAATGACTCTCGCCCTGGACTACAAAAAATGAACAAGAACAATATTTAAGTCCTTGCCCAGAAAGTTTCTTGGTACCTTGTGTTGTTTTCTTTATCGGAATCTGTCAAATCCCCGAAAGGAAAAAGAAACACAAAACACCAAACCCCGTTTTCTATGGGGGTACTTGTGCTCTCTTGGACTCACCCTGGGACCTGTCAGGGTTCTCTCTTCTCCGGACGGCGCGAAAGCGAGGGCCCTTCGTTTTTTGGTCAAAACATGCACCCCAAAACAACCCTTCTGGTGCGTTTTCTCCGGGGACTCCCGAAAAGGGCGCAACGGTTTGCCTCTGATTTTCCCGAAAAAAGAGCACCGACAAAAGGGTGGCCTCGGCAACAAGACACACCTGGAGTCTCCCTTGAAAAATGGGGTCATTGCCCAGAATAATCCAATTTTTAAAGGATCAGAAGGAGACTCCAGGCACCCACTTACATAAACCGCTTGGGGGTTCCCACCAGTTCGGGTCCCAGGTCCTCCATTTTTCCAAGGTGACAGACAATATCCCACGAGCTTCCGCTCTCCGCTGACGTCCGACACATGGCAAGACTTAGTTTCGTTTAAACACGTTGCATGTTTCTAAGGGTTTTTGTATTACACCCTGGGAATACACCCACTAGGTATTGACCCCATTTAGGCGCATGTCCGGATAAAACCGTGCTATTTTGAACCATTCTGGGTCATTTCCCAAAAGTGTAATCCCCGGGTGTAATGCAAAAACCCTCAGACTTTTGGTTTTGGAGCCTTTTTGCTTTTGACCTGAAAAGTTTGTTGCAGGGGTCCGATCACCTCCTAAGTACCCATCCAGGGCTCATTTGAGTCTGTAGCAGGGTAAGCAACGCTTGAGTCTACCGAAGCCACGTAAAGATGGCTGGGCATTGGTGACCTTGGCTCCTTACATATTTTGCAAACAAATGACTTTTAGATTAAGCCTGCAATCAGGGATCGACCTTTCGCTCGGATCAGACGAGGGATGAGTGCCCTTTTTGAGGTGATTAAGAGAAGCCTCAGCCATTTTAGAGGTTTCCTCATGCCCTAGGGTTCAACCCCCAAAACAAAATTGAGATGATGACAATCCTGAAATGGGTATGGGTCAAAATTAAACCACCAAAGAACCGCAGGTTTTTTTCATTGTTTCCACTTACCAGGGCCACTGGGGCCTCTGCCATTTTGGGGTTACCCTATTTTTGACAACCACTGCCAAATGGCGAAAAAACCGTCCTGGACAGGGTTGTGGGATCAAGGGTTTCTCCCCACTTCCTTCGGGATCCCCCTTTACATGAACACAATAGTCTTTGGGAAACCATCCCTGAGTATCACAGATTCGTGGATTCCATTCCCCACAGCCCTGGTCCTGGACACGGGGCTCCCCTGTGGTCTTTCAATCCTCGGCCGGAATCCCCGAATGAATCCCCTGGACATGGAGAGACCTGAAGGTGCGCCTAAGAAGCGGAGTGAGGCTTCGCTTGTAAAATACTTCCCTTTGCTTAAGAATGTTTTCCAGTGTTTTTTTGTTTCCCCCTTGTTGGTTTTAAAAGGAATTTGTCACTACTGGATTCTGGATATATATATATATATATGTTGTTTTTGTTCCTCAGGTCTTAACCAAATGGAAGAATATCAGCAAACAACGGTTCCGCTTGGATTCGGTGCGACTTGGATTTCGCAACCAACAGGTGGGGTTCCTTTTGGGTACCAGTGTTTGTGGGTGTCTGTGGTTGCCTCTGATGGGACTAGTTGGTTTCAGATCGCGGAAACCGTCATATACACCATTCGAAATGCCCGGTGCATTTCGCAACAATCCACTGTATCAGCACTGAATTCCAACCTCTTAATGATAACCCTGGATGAAGCAACCCCTGTCCTACTACGAGTTTGTGAAGGGTCACAAGGAGACTCTACGTAGACTTTGAAGCTATTTGCAGAAAAATCGAATCATTCCTGGGTTTCTAAGCGGCGCGAAATGGATTTCGCCCCTCCACAGTATTACTCACTTCCT